GAGGGGGGAGGTGTTTCCAAGTATATGGTGGAGGGTAAAAAATAGTTGTTAAGCAAATGAATTATTGATCACCTTTAATAAGATAACTGCATGTATTTATTAGGGGTTGACCGATTATTGGCCTTGCCGATTATCAAAGCCAATATTCAACGATATCTTTATTTTTTGATTATCTGTATTTTTTACTGGTTCACAATAACATAAATACATTTAAAAATGTGCAACTTTGGCTTTAATGCAGCCACTTTTATCTGTACTATCTCATCAGTGACACATCACAAGTAATAATCTATCAATACTACAGGACAGATGTTCATAAAGTTTTCTTTTTATTAGATGTATGTAAAACATTATCAAAAATAAAGCTTTTCAATTAATTTCGTGACAAAGTTTATGTTACTCTAAATGTTTACACCAAAATCTTGATTTTTCCCCCTGCAAATGTCAGTTCCAAATGTCTGGGCTGCAATTTATTATTATTTTTATTGTCAGGTTATCTGTCGATGATGAGCTGTTTGGTCTGCAAATTGTTAGAAAACTGGCATCACATCAGTGTAACTGAGACAGGGATTGCTTTTGTCAATACCCACAGTGGTAACTAGTGCTTTAACTAATGGTTATTACCATTTTTGGCAAATCTGTCAGTTAATTCCTTGAATAATCATTTTGGTGTCTGGTCTATTAGATGGCATAAATTTATGACAGATGTCAATCAGTGTTTTCTAAAGCCTCAGATGAGAATATCTTGTTTTGTCACAACCCAAAGATATTTTGTATGCTGCCACAGACGGGGAAGAAATAAGATGCAGTCACATTGAAGACGCTAGAATCAGAAGATTTTCACTTTTTTCTCTTTTAATGAATTACCGAAATCATCCATGATTATAACAGCTGATGATTCATTTCATAGTTGACAACTAATCGTTTAATCACCGCAGCTGTATCTGTCCTGAAAAAAACAACAACAAATCGGTCGACCCCTAATGTTCATCATTCTGCTGGTTAATAATAAACCAAAGGCAGCGCAGAGACACATTTATGGCCGCGTCTGCTGCTGGCAGCATCAACAACAGGAGGTTTGCAACACCTGGCGGCGGCAAACACCAGCAGCATGTGCAAACGCAGAGCTCATTGTACAATAAACCAGGCTTTTCTTTAAATTAGCATCGTGCTGGTGCAAAAATACCGCCTTCGTGCTCCACACAGAGATGGCTGTTGCTAACGTTAGCGAGCGAAAAGAAGAAAACACCGCACGACAAAGCCTGGAGAGGACCACAGTTTGCAGCTAGCTGCTGTCTCCACCATATTGCTTTCGCGGTATCAACTAAAGCAACACACAAGAGGGATGTCTGTCGACTATTAAGATTTATGGTCACGCGTATTGTGTCTCCTACCCAGACGTTCAGCGCGGAGCTGGTTTCATCAATGAAAATATGCAATAACGGCTAGCTACCGTGCACAATCAAACGTTACCGAAACAACACGTTTGGAATGAGGAGGGAAAAAAAATTCAACTTACCGATGACTTACAGTTTAAATGTTTATTTAAAACTTCCACCCGAACCGAAATAATAACTCGGCTGCCTCTGTGTCGCAAGTCTACAGTGATAACGTGGCTGTTTGTGTTGATTTGTTGTCAAAACGCAGAGCCGCTAGCTTGACTACAGCGAAATGTGTCGTTTCCGCCCCTTCGTCTGCTACAAGAGAAGAAGAGAAAACGGCCGTTGGAGGCAGCGGCGCAGGCGCAGTTTCACCGACTGAGAACCGTGTGGATTGGCTCAGCAGGTGCCCAGGAGCAGGTGCAGCTGTGTGCGCATGTTTTGTAGATCTGTGAACGCAGCGCGCGCGCAAACCGGGTACCGGCTCGATGGACCGGCCTTCACTGCATGAGAAATACAGGCGATAAAGGCACTTTATGAATCCCAATGGGCACAACAGCAGAGCAGAGAGGGCAGCTACCCCGGGGCCCCAGCTTCAGGGCCCCAACAGTCCAGGATTATCTAACAACAACAACAACAATAATAATAATAATAATAATAATAATAATAATAATAATAATAATAATAATAGTTGTTGTTGTTATGTCCTTGTAAAATATAATAGAGTACCGTGCATTATATACAGCATATTATATACAATATGTTACAGTATTAAAATAATGATCAGTATGGACAGACAGATGTGAATACAATATAAAATCGATCATCAAAATCTACAGGTAGGGAATAATAGTGGTAATAACAGCATTAATAGCATATAGTATACATAATAGAGTGGATAGTAAACCGTATAAGCAGTAATGACAGTATAGATAATACAAACAGTGTGAACAGTATTAATTCAATTCAGTTTTATTTATATAGCACCCATTCTCAACATATGTCATCTTATAGCAGTTCACATAGTGCGGGAAAAGACCTTACACAGAGGGTGAGATATATGCAGTATATATACCAGATGAACAGCATCACAGTACGACCAATTACTAGGATATGAGATGAAGCATATATGGAGTTTAGATGCAGTATGAACAGTGTAAACAGTATCAATGCTATGAGACATATGAAGTACAGCATGAAACGTATACACAGTATGAACAGTGTGAATAGTATTAATGCTCTGAGATACACATACAATGAACAGTGTGAACAATGGATAGGATATGAGATGGATGCGATACATGCAGTTAATACACAGTATAAAGTCCAGGGTGGCTATACAGTTGTGAAAAAAGGTATGTCATGGCAGTTTTGAGTTTACAACGACTCATATAGCTCTAATTTTTGTATGATGGAATCATTGAAACACATGCATTTTTGTCACAACAACAGTCATGCATTTTGGTTCATACAACAACTTGAATAATCAGTTTTGGTGATGTAGAAAGTTGTGTTAATCAGATATTTTTACTGGCATGGCTTGACCATCATGGCCCAAATTTTTACATAATAGTCCTAAAATATATTTATTTAGATTATGCATATGGGAGCACAGCACATCTACAGGCACCTTTATCAGCGGAACAAACTCCATCTGGTAATGTATAAATGGACCTTGTGCTAAGAAGAGTGTGTAAAAAAACTATTTCTCATAGACAGCAAATACTTTGCACCTCTCAGGTGAGATGCAACATGAACGTCTCAGCTGGAAAACTTGGCAGTCAGTGTGGCAAACCTAAACATTTCTGGGATAATATTACAACATCATTGAATATCAGATATTATATAACGCAGGATGCTTGGGTACTGATTCAGCTCTTTGACTTTCAACAATGTCATGGTACAAGGCACTGTAACTGTGGTACAATAATCGTATGTCCTCCTGTAGTTGAAAAAGATTCTTTCTTTCATTTGTTTTTTGTTTTTTTTACCATTAAGCAGCAGTGGTCAGGATGTTCTTGCCCTGGAATTTTTGAGCATTAAACACCTTATTCTTTGCATTTGGAGATTTTTTTAATGCATCAATTTGTACCTTTTATGGTCCCATTAATGGTAGAAACATCTTTATTTATTTAACAGAAGACACAAAATTCCCAGCACTAGGTGACAGTTCCCAATATATTGGAATACAATGCAGTAAGGCTCATGGATATTTGTTCTCCTGTAGATCAACTTTTCTCTTTAAATTTTATCCCTGCTGAGGTCAACACACATAAATGTATACAGGTATTCTTTTGTGTTTTTGGTTTGGCAAACTAACTTCTTTGAATGCGACCGTGGTACATTTTCAAATCCATCATGAATTTATTGATTTTACTTCATCTATAAGCCTCTGGACTTAATTATTACAATAAAGCCTCTGCTTTTTATTTAGTGGAGCAAATGTCAAGTCATTGTTATTTTGCACATTTCAATCAATCAATCCGTCAGACTTTATTTGTATAGCACTTTTTATATAAATGAAATCTAACACAAAGCGCTTTCCAAAACAAAGGGAATAAACAAGGCAATAAAACTTAAAACAACAACCATTCTCCACAAATATTATGTTTTAAATGAACAACTCAATAAAAACATTGACAGAGGAACTGCAGAAACACTGTCATAAATAAATACAATGAGAAACACCAGAGGCTACATAAGTTCAAATTCAGAAAAACAAAAAAAGGCAATAATAATAAGTGAAGTAGTAAAAGATAGATAAAATGGACTCAAATATATAAACAAAAAGAGCAATGAATAAATAAAATCAGTTTTGAAATAAGTAATAATACATAGATTTAAAAAAAAATAAAAGCCAGTCCAACCAGGTAGGGGTTGAGTTTGCTTTTAAAAATATCAACACTCTCTGCTGCCTTCAGTATTTATTATTATTAATGATGTACTTATTAATTATTGTATTATTTCTTTCTTTGTATTTCAGTTATTTTATCTTTCAGTCCTAAACCAGATTTCTTTATTTTTATTTTTTATTTTTTTCAGTTTTCTTATCTACTTTGTAAAGCATCTTTGAGTTTCTTGAAAAACTCTGTATTATTATTATTATTATTATTATTATTACTACTACTATTATTATCATTATTATCAATAATAATAATAATAGTAGTAATAATTTTGGGCACAATTGTTCCTCTTTTAAGTGTTTACGTATAGTATCCCTGCAAGAAGGAGTGCTATCGCAGATCATTCATAACATCTGCTGTAAATCTGTACAACATCAGCATCACTGACATCATAGCATCAGCATCATGTCAAACCATGGTAAAATCTGCACAGCATTTTTTTTGCACTGCTTGCATCTTGCACTTTTACTAATACTGTATTTATGCTTAATACTGTATTTACTCATTTTCTTCTTTTTTTTAATCCTTGTATATATTGTACATATTATTAATGTTATTATTATTGTGCATAGGTTTAGTGCTGCTGTGACAGACGTTTCTGCTGTAACAATGGGAACTTCCTCTGGCGTGGGGAGCAATAAAGGATTATCTTATCTTATCTTAAATTCCCTACTTAATTATGAATTAAATAACCAAAACAAACCCACACCTTTTTTTTGTTGTAATCTGACACCCGTACCTTACGCCCCTCCCCCTTTCGCTACGTCGCTCCGTTACGCAGCGACGTCAGGATATGACGCTGCGGCGGTGCCGCTTGTGACTTGCGAAATGGAGATAGGAGCTGTCCGTGAAAACAAGCCTCTGTGTTTGAGGATTTCGTTCCCCAGAAATTTAGAAATATCGACGGGCAGGAAAACAAGCGACAGCAGCCGGCTGGATACCGCCGCAGCAGCCGACACAGACCTCATGAAAGTAAGTGACGGTCGGCCGGAGTTAGCCTTTAGCTGCTCCCTTTAGCCAGCTTGTTGAGAAGTGTAATGATTCAGGCCAGACAAATAAAACAACGTGGACAAAGTAGTTAGCCATTAGCGACATCTCATCATTTAAGAGTTGTAGCTTCTTTATTTAATTAGAATTTCTGTCATTTTTTTTCTCTGTACAACAACAGAACAGTCGCTCATTTACACCGGTCACAGGGTGGTAGTTAAATTATAGTTGTTTGTGATTGTTGGTGATCTGTTTAAGAGGACATGGCCACTAAAGCAGGACAACAACCACCAGAGCTACTTTATTTAACTTGATTTGGTGGAGAAATGGTGTTAAAGGTACTAGCAACAGTAAATATGAGTGGAAAGAAGGGGTAAAAGTTACTTCTAAGTGTTAATTTCTTTATTTCTTAGCACTATAAAGTGAACATCTGCACACTGAGAGTCTTTTTTTCTCGGTTTCCCTTTAAAATTCATTAACAGACATTTCTTTATTTAGTATTTCAGTATCCACACCTCACTATGGGGACTTTTTTTTTAAAAAAATCCTTTTTGTTATTTGTCTACTCGATGAGGGAAATACATTTTTAACATCAACCACAGAAACCATCGCGTCAATGGGAAATGCCTGTGGCAGCTTCTAGTAGTAGTAAAAAGTAGTTTCTGTTTGTCACATGGTCTTCATTTTGTATTTATTTTTATTTAAACTATTGCAGAGTATTCAAAAGTTCATCGTTATTTGGTTCCAGTTTCTTAGGTGTGAGGATGCTGGTGTTTTCTCTATTTAATAACAATAAATAAAATTAAATATCTTTTTTTTTTGATGATGGTGCTCAGACGAAAAGTACTTTGTAGACTGACATGTTGTAATTAAGAAAAAATGGAGAAGTCACGCAATAACTGAAGTAATTCTTAGTTAGTTTTAGCACAAATTGCCCCCAGTTTTTACTGATGTTCCAGTCCAGGCTTATGATGCATAAGTTAGACAAACATTCGTTTAAAGGAATCTAAATCTACTGTAAGTGGTGATAATCTGCTTATGGAGAATTTTTAAGCGGTAAACAAGCTGAACACCACACTGTAAGTCCAGAGGAGGTGATGGGTGGTGACTATTTAGAGAAAACATGTCCCAATGGCGAACAGAAATAGCAGCAAAAGTGACTAAGTTCATTCGAGCTGACCAGTTTCTCTTTTTGAGGATGATTCATCAGCTCATGACAACACTATAGAAAACGTACCCAACATGCGACACCTCCTGAGCCGGTTCACTGAAACGTTAACTTTCTGATTCCTCTTCCCTTTGCAGTGCAGCACTCGATAGGATGATCAGGAACCAAGAAGAAGATGTGAGTAACGTCCCACTCTCATTAAACATTAAATCACAATATTCAACCACAAGATTCTGCTTCTTGTTTCCTTTAGTAAAATACCTGCAGGGTTCATCATGAACCCTTTAAGCAAACTTCCACTCGTATGCCAATGAACAATACCCTCCATTGATGTGTTAAAAAGCATTTGAGGAACTTTGTTTTTTGCAGAAGAAGCATGTGTCGTGCCTGCACAGTAATCTAGATCTCAATCTGTCGGTTCAGCCGCAATACAGCAAAAAGCTGACATGCAACCATCACATGTGGTGTTCTTTTATGTCTTGTGAAATGCTGTCTTTGTTTCTGTCCTCCAGGAGTTTGTTGCGGTGCGGGTCCAAGATCCCCGCGTTCAGAACGAAGGCTCCTGGAATTCATACGTAGATTTTAAGATATTCTTACATGTGAGTATTAACGCATCGGTCACTTCCAGTTTGTGGTCCTGAGGAGGTCATCTATGAGCAGAAAATCAACAGGCAGTCAGTTTAATAATCGTTTTTCCTCATTTATAGAGAATATTTTAAAGTTTTGGACAATGGAAAGACATTTGAAGACAACACCTTGGGCTCTGGGAGACTAAATGGGCATTTTCCCACATTCACTGAATTATTTCTCAAAAAAAAAGATGTGAAAATGAGTAAAATCATATGATAGACTTGTTGAAATCCCGAAATGCACTCTAAACGGCCTGCAAAAGTGTTTTACATATAAACTTCCTCAACGAGACACTCCTTTCCCCCCACCAATGTACAGACCTACAGTTTTCAGTTTTAAACAAAGCTTGCAGCTTCGCTTCCTACTTGCCAAGCTAGCACAGAGCAGATGGATTCCTTACATATTGTCCAGGCAGGAGCTGACGTTGTTGTCGAGGCGGTGGCCGGTGTTGAGGAATGCTGTGTCAGCACTGAGGCTCCATGCCCAGACGGATGTGTTGAGTGGGTGGTGACTCATGAAATTGACTAAAACCATGTGACTCCACATGATCTCACATCGGTTTGTTTGCTTGCAGCTGATTGCAAAGGTGAGACGTGAAACCCCCAGTGGTGTTTGATCGGCCGTTTGGTTGTTATTTCAGCTCTATAAACACCCTCTAACAAAGCATTTATCACTGCTTTCATTGTTTCCCTGTGCACACATAGTGTAACCCTGCCCTGCCTTTAGCCATTTCAACCTACACTGAAGCAGATTTTAACAAACAACATGTAAAGCTGCAACTAACGGTAGTTTTTTATTACTGATTAGTTTGCAGATTATTATTTGTTTTGCCCTAAGTTACATTTTCAGATGTCAACAATCAAAATCTATTCTACTGTCACATATGATGAAAAAAAAAAACACCTGATGCTAATATTTAAGCTGGAATGTGCAGGAAATCTTTACTGCTAATATAACTTTTATTGATCAACTACTAGATTGAAGTTGCAGCTCTAATAATATGTCTGATCAAGCATGTGCAGGGAGGCACAGTAAAGAAATTGTGCTTCTGTGGACTTTTCCCCTCTAATGGAATTTGTTCATCTGCATTAAAGACGTGACTTCTGCAGCACATCTCCATCTTTAATTGATTACGGCCTTTCAGAGGGGAGCTTGTTATGCAAACATTACTGGACTGTGTCACACGTTACCGGAACGAATCTGACATGTGATAAAGCTTCAGCTCTGCCATAAGCTCAGCAACGGTTTGAACAGCTGGAACACGAGTCATTCCAGTCGCAGCAGGGGTCCCAGAATGAATGAAGTTGGTTCATTGTACTGAGCTGTCAAATTAAAGGATGAGGACGCTGTTGTTTTATACTTTGCTAACCTCCCTGCTGTTTGTGATTTTAAGCCTCAAGCACAAAAATGTACATCCTGAAAAACACATCAGTTTATTTCGTTGTACGTTTCTCCCAAGCAGCCAGACGCTGGGAGTAAATAATGCATTTGTTTGGAACAGTTTTCTGCAGCATGATGAATTACATTTGGTGCACTTGTGAGCATTTGTGGCTCCCAGAAATAAAATAAATCAGGCTTTGATATACCGACAGTACATTTTAGTCAGATCAGTTGATTAGATTTATTGATCACTTTGAGGAAAAACACATAAAATATCACCTGCCTTTGGTTTTAATGTGATTTTACAAAGCCTCAGACTGTTGCTCTGTTTGTTTCAAGAAAGTAATGCTTTTTTTTTTTTTCCTTCTTCCTCAGACCAACAGTAAAGCCTTCACAGCCAAGACTTCCTGTGTGCGACGGCGCTACAGCGAGTTCGTCTGGCTCAGAAAGAAGCTGCAGAAGAATGCAGGTTTGGTGTAAGTCGACCGTTTCAGTGTTTGCTCTTTGCTGAGGCGATAGTAGTGAGAATTCCTGTGCTGGTTCATCCCAGACCAACAGTGTGGGCCAGAGGCAGTTTTGCATAGCAGCACGTCTGAGGGCCAGACTTCACCTCTCAGCTGAGTAGAGATGAAAAAAACACTCCAGCATGAAGCAGTCTGCTGCTTTAATGCTACAACTGATGAATACTTTTATATTAAGCAAGGATCAAATTATTATTCATAAAAATAACACCAATGAAATGTATGTATATAACACTTTCAGGACAGCAAGGATACATGAATAGAATCAATATATAAACCAGTGAAGCAAGACTAAAATATAAAAAGTGCGTCATATAATATAGACAAAATAAGGAAATTGAGATTTTTACTCCCCACAATTAAATGACAATAGACATTTAACTTGCTCATAGAAAACAGCCCATGTAGGTAAAATCACTCGGTTGGATTGGGACGCTTTATTGCCCTCTTTTCAGAGTCATTCTTTAATGCACTACAGTAACTCAGTGGTGGAGACTAGAGGCTTCTCTGTGCACACAAGTCTTTGCTTCTGGTTCTTCAACTATTTTATGAACATGCTTCTCTGGAAAGTGGTCATCAACAAAGAAAGAAAGTGACTGACTGTCACATAAAACATGCAAAAAAAGTTTAAAGAAACTTCCAGTCTGAAAGGATCTATTAAAACATTACTGACAGAACATTATGGCTCCATATACATACAACTGCCAGTATACAGGAATGAGTGAAAGATGGTACATTAATTTATTATAGATGTTAAAAAAGAGAGAATCAGTAATACTTTCTGGTTCCTCTGTGGTGAACTTACATGTTTAAACTTCCATCATGTGAGGCGTTTAGGGAACATCAGGGAATTGTAGTGTGTGTCTTAAACAGATATTCATCAAGTGAGATGATTTAGGTAGAATTTAAGAAACTGCATTGATTTGAGGTGATGAAGAACCTTATTTTAAGCCTATTGTGATGCAAAGATTTGTACATTAGCAGGAACAACATGCTCCGTTTATTTAACTACAAAAGCACACTAAAAATATTCTGTCCCCAAAATCAATGAGTCATCTTGATAAATAATTGTGATCTCAGTGGTGATCAAAATAATTGCCATTACCATTTTGCCCCAGATCTTGCAGCCTTAATACAAAAGAGGATGTCAGACATAACAATGATAACTTGTCTATTATTTGACTGTTATACATCAACATGCACATTTGTAAACAAAACAGAAAAGTACACATGTATTTTTAGATTCAAATCTTAAGACATGTTAAAAGACAGAAGAAGGTAAAGGATGAGAGAAGGGGATCAGTCGGCAGCGAGTGCTAAATGACGACATCACATAAAAGCACATCCATGAAAGTCCGTTTTTAAATAGATTAAACATTGTGTGTACAGAATCTGCGAGCCTCACGTCCTCTGTCAGGCTGACTGAGAAGGCCTGTCCCTCTTTGTTATTGATCTGGGGCTGGGAACAGTAAGTGAGGACCTGCCAGACGATTCTGAGGCTGTCTGGAAATGTATAAAGAGGTCAGCCCGTGAATAGTGATTAGTAACATTTTTACAATCAATTCTTAAAACGGCGTGGCGGGATGCCAGAACCGCAGCTGCATTTTTGGAATAGTTCTATACAAACTATTATCACTAACTCTGCAGTTCCACTTAGCTCAATGATGTATTTTAACATCTTTCTGCTCATTTTGGTTTTATAGCCGGCAGCTTTATTGTTTAAAATCACTCTAATCTGAAAAACTAAACTGTACGCCACCTGCTCAGCACCAGACAGACACAGTTAGAGACTAGCTGGAGAACACAGTGAAGCATTTAGCAGCTAAAGAGGCACGGATTTACCAAAACAAAGCTAAAGTGAGACTGTATGCTGGGTTCAGATCCATCAGGTGTCCAGAAACATGACACTAAATAGATGGTAATGTTGCTCCAAGTCTGCTGGACGAGTAAATAAATAACTATCAGCTTTATAAGGTGATTATACGTCAGTGTTGTGTTCATCACTTCATAAAATGCATCCTAGTAATTGTATCGTATAGATTTAACCAAATAGTCTACAAACAGAGAGCATAAAGCCTTTTGCTCGTTTTTCATCCTTGTAGACCCGTTCCAGACCTTCCAGGAAAATCCCTCTTCTCCTTCAGCAACGAGGACTTCCTGGAGAGGAGGAGGAAAGGACTTCAGGTCTTCTTGGACAAGTCAGTTCTTGCTCTTCCAAACAAAACATCAGATTTGCTGTAGAGCTGAAACTTTATCATCTAAGCTACCTTTTTTTAAAAAAATGTATTTCGTGCCTTTGTCGTGGCAGGGTGGTGCACACGACAGTATGCCTCTCGGACAGCCAGCTCCACCTCTTCCTGCAGACCCAGCTGCCGGTCGGCCACATCCAGGACTGCGTTCAGGGCCACACTCCCTACACTGTGATGGATGCTATCCTCACCTACGCCTCGTCCAATCGGGGGCTGGCTCAGGCGCAGGAGGAGGATTCCATCAAGGAGCCGAGTTTGACCGTTTCCTATGAGTCCATGGAAAGGTAGGAGGGAGAGATCTAAACTACTGATGTAGAGCTAATGATGTAGAAGTAATTCTTTGCTTCACCCATCCTCGGGGTTAGACGAGAAATTGATAACAAATATGAAGCTACAGTGAGCAGCTGGTTTGCGAACTGTCCACCTCCTCTACCAATAAACAGCACCGCCCATAATCTTTGGTAAACCTACAACTATTTTTTTGCACTTTTGTTTTGTAAGATTTAAATAGACGAGATATGACGTGAATTATTCAGCTGCAGAGGTGTTTTGTTGTAGATTTTACTGATAGTTGTTTCTCCCCGTTTGCAGTCTTTGAGCTATGCTGAGCTATCCAGATGCTACAGCGTCATATCTAATGCACAGATCTTATCAGTTTTCTCATTCAACAAGCAACACAGTCATGAAGCATTTTTCCCCACAATGTAAAGCTTTTACCTAAAACCTACACGTTTATTTCCCCTTTCATGACTTTAAGGTTGTTATAATTACAGCTGAACAATTTGGGGGAAACATGTAATTGCAGTTTTTCTGAGAGATAATGTGGTTTGAGTTTTTTTAGAAACAGTGCTAACACTGTCATAGAGTTAGAACATGTGATGGAGCATTATCACATGAGCTGCCATCAAAAAGACAATGTGGATTTGTTCAACCACTGACACGACAGTTCAAACTCTGGGTCAAATGTTTTGCGTGACAAAACCCAACCCAAAGTGCAGCCTTTGCACTTTTCTGATTGTATTGTTTCAAATGTAGATTTATAACATCTTAATCCTCTCATCTTGCTCCCACTCTTCATTGAATTTATATCGTGTTTAAACTGAGAGAAACTGAACAAGGGTTGGATGCACAGCAGAAGTTTGTAATAACCAACACATCAGTGAGACAGCTTTTTTTTAAAAACCAGAGTTAAAGTAAATGTTTTCTCTTCACAGCCCAGCCCCTCATCAGCCTTCCCTACAAACTAATGAGACCTTCAGCCCTCAGCTGTTGTCATGTGGAGATGCCGACCCCCTAGACGGTTTAACGGAGCTCCGTGATCAGGATTCAGCTGAAGTTCTGCACAAGGAGCACTCCTCAATAAGGATCTCTCAGAAAAGCAACCATCTAGAGGCCGTCGTCGAACACTGTCCACCATCAGAGGCAACGTTTTATCTCGGGGAGAGTCGGGAGGACACGGAGAGTCCCAGCTCTGGAGAACAGATCCACCAGAGGAGCTGCCAGATCCAGACGCCGGTGGTGGTGCACTCGCCCATTGGGGCCGGCTTTGACTGCGGGGTGGAGGAGGAGGAGGAGGAGCGTGTCATGACTGTTGCTTGTCCCGACGCCCAAGAAAATAGAGAAACAGTCAATTGTGAACCTGAAAAATGTGTGAATTCTGTAGTGGTTTTAGATTTTAAGGACAATAACTCCGAGGAGCGAGTTGTAGAAAGCAGCGTCCAGGAGGAGGAAGTTCTGGTCTGCTCTGAGACACAGGTTTTAGGAAATCACGTCATCTCTGAGGTTAACGACGGACAAATAGTGCCAGACAACAAAACAAGTGAAGAATCAGGCGAGGTGATGCCACTTCAGTCAGAAATCCATGACGGTGCCCACAATGTGAATGAAGTACCAGAGGTGGGATGGGGTGGCGATGAAGATAAGCAGAAGCTGGATTTGGTCGGGACCAAAGACGAGAGCGACGATGACAGCCACTCACTGCCATCTTCCAATGAGAGCATTGTTAAGGTCAGCGATGAGGAAAGCGTTCACGACGACACTGAATACTCGATCCAGGCTGCAAATGGCTTCATGGAGACGTCTCCTGAGGATGTGTCTTGCTGGTCGGCGGTGGAGGCCTCCAGCAAGAACATTTTAGACCTCCAGATGAATGGATGTCCTGTGGAGAACGTGGACATTCCTGCACAGGAGGAAGAGCAGCTGCAGTACGTGACCAACATCAGCGGCCTGAGTAAATCTCTGGACTGTAACTCGACTGTCACTGATGGAGAGTTGACTGAAAACAGTGATATCAGCATCTTGGAAACCAGCTGTGTGCCTGGATTACCGGATAGTAAATTCACAGAGCAGGAAGCCCTGTCCTCGCTGTCTTTGGACGCCTCAGAGGAGACTCAGGAGGTGGAGGTGTGTTAGTTAAACAGCTTGAACACCACCTAACGCCCTCAGAAGGGCTGCTGCACCCTCACCGAAACAACAATGAGTCGTGAGAATTGTCCTCTGCCAAAGACACATTCAGTCACATGCATACAGACAAACTGGAGGTTGTGTTGCGTTGTAAAAACTCTCCACATTATGTACACAATGTGTTTGAACCGGTCTGTTAGTGTCAACCAAGGTCAGAGGCAAACTACATTTTAAAAGCACCGGATTTAAATTGAAACCTCACACTGTCAGTCATGTTGTAGGAATAACATTTTAAATATAAATCTAATTTTAAAAGTACTATTTTAATTTACACTCAGGTACATGATAACACATAAATATCAGCACTGTTTTCCCTCCTCTGGCCGACTCCTCAGCTCTGAGTTGCTTTTTGTGAACAGCAGAGGGTGCTCACGTTCACAGAAGGACTTCATTGAAGGTTCCTTTAGCTGAAATTCTAGTTCTAGAAGTAAAACAAATATGTTTGGCTCAGTTTATTTTGTAGGATTTTTCAAAAACCAAACACTAGAGAGATAAACTATGACGGGAATATGCGCTTGAATTAAAGGATAAGTTCACTGTTTTTTTTTCCAGTCTATATTTAACACACAGACCTTCATGTACTTCGATGTTCATACTGATCATTAGAGTTACAACAATTAATCGATAAGCTGTCTGCTACTAAATTAACCTCATACTATTCTCATATTTAATTAACTGGTTTAAGTCATTTTTAAGAAAAAAAAATCTAAATTCTGTGATTCCAGCTTCCTAAAATTGAATATTCTCTGGTAAGGATTTAATACTAAAAAGACTTAAACTAAATTTTTCCACTTAATCTTTCGAGCTGGGACAAACTTAATTTAGGAACGCATTTCTAATTGACCAGTACAGACAGAATGAACTATTAAAGCAACCAAAAACTGTTTGACTGTACATTTGGGTGCATTTGTTTTAAGACAGACTTGTAAAAATGAACCTATCTTTAAAACCACTGGAGACTGCACACAGCTATTCCCGTTTTCACATCTTCGCTTACGTGTATCACTATTGTTTTAGTCCAAACTGCGTGTGAATGTTAATATAAGTTTAAAGAACAGCTGATGTAGATTTGCTGCTTAATAATCCTGTTACTAAAGACAGTTGTTCGTGCCCATTTGCGATGCAGCACATAATGAAGTGCAGGTGGAGGTCACTGCAGGATGGATAGCTTCGACTAGAAATGAGAAATATCATAGATGGACATTAAACCTGTATCGGAACATGTCTGGATTGAAGCCAAGCGGGTGTAGAGCTGACCTCTTTGCATCACAGCACTGTCAGCGTGCTTATTATTAACAAATCAGAGGGAAACGAAACAATAGCGGTGTGGCTTGAAGCAATTAATTCACTTGGGGAACCCTGTGCAATAGACATTTTAGCGTTGTGATCTTGATGTGCACTCTTGTAATACGTGCGGTTGTTTTACTGGATTTCTTTTATTCATCTGAACTCCCTGAAGCAAAAAAAAAAAGGGATGAATCACACAATGCTGCCTCTTTTCTAACTAACTCCAGTTAATTAAGATGAGCATTATTTGTTCTGAAGAAGTTTACTTTTTCCCAGATCTGTGAGCCTTACTTAACTCCAACTGGTACAACGTGTGTGTAAGATGGCTGCAGTCGTTGTTTTCACACTACTGCTGTTTGTGCTTCTAATTAATTTCGCTGCATTCAAAAGGGACCCAGAGTTTATTGTGGTATTTAACATAGAAATGACATTTTTGTTCTTCGTGGCGTAGCTTCCAGGTGAGCCGATGGTGTCACGTCTACTGCAGCGGGTGGATTGTAATGTACTGGGTTTTGTTTTCTTTCTACACTGTACATGACTGCAGGTATTTCTGTTGTTTCTTTTAAAAAGTTTTCTTTTTTTAAAGGAATGTTGAAAAGCAAAGCCCCCTTTCAAATGAGACCTCTTTTTTTTTTTTTAGAACATGGATCTACAAGGGTAATGCAGACATCCTGAGTGATGCATCCATGTAAATATGCAAAGTATAACCTTATTTTATTTCAAATAAATAGTTTTTCTTCCTTACTGTGTGACATGTTACTGTCTTTTTGTTGAACGCTAAGATTTTGGAGCAATTCTGCCACCTAGTGACACAAAATGAACAATGAGTTTAATAATTAAAAACACCTAATTAGAACTGGAACAAAAACACACACAAGTAGGTACTGTTTTGTTTTTTATAATGTCTTTTAAAAATGTGAGATAATGTGTTTTTAAAGTAATAGTTTAAAATATTGTATATATTGTACATTAGTTACTTTTAAAAGCAAGTACTGGAAAGAACTTCTGCTTTAAGAGGAAATAATTTATAAGTCACTAAAAATCTGCATGTTTCTAATTTTAGCCAGAGAATTAATAAAGTATCAGCCCACAATTACAAATCATTTTCAACTAAGGGTGCAGCTAATGGTTATTTTCATTATTGATGCATCTATCAGATTTTTTGTGAATAATACATTAACTGTTTAGTCTAGAAAATGTCAGAAAATGCTCATTAAAAGTTTCTCCAGCACAAAAAAATGTGACATAAAACACAGAGAATGGGGGGAAAAAAAACTCACAAATGAGAAGGGTAAAATATAATAATGATTTATCAATTATCAAAATTCTGACATAATTCATTGGCTAATTATTTCAGCTCTAGTTTGCTCATCAATATAGCAGGCTTTTATAAATGTGTTATAGTGTACAGGAATAACATTTACATGATACAAATTTACCGCCTTATAAAAGGTAATCATTTTCAAATTACAAAAGATTATCTGACAGATCCGTCTGTGAAATTCATGGCTGGATGTGTCAGCAGCGGCAGTGCTGTGGAAGAAAATAAAAAGCACTATCAGAGAAACGCGCATTAATAATTCAGCGTTCGTTGTGAGCCGTGCCTATCAGTACAGTATTAGGGAATCATTTCCTTAAATAGGACAACTGACGCCGTAATCATGCTTTTGTTGCATTTATATATTCTGAGCCATTGGCCATTGCGTCGCTCAGATTGCATCTATGCAGTACTTCTTCCGGCCAGCAGATGCCATAAATGGCAGGTCAACAACTGAACATACCTCAGTGGCAATCTGGATGAGCACCAGGGGGACCGTTTCTGTGTATTAGGCCACAGTAATGGTCCATAATGCTGATGATAAGAGAGTGCCTTGGTACCTGTCGCAGCTCAGAGGATGTAGGCAGGGTGCAGGAAGTCCTTGGGGACGATACCGACGGTGCCGTTCAGCTCGCCGACCCACCAGCCGTGAATGTTGTACTCCTGGACCCAAAATGAACAAATAAAGAACAGTAAGTCTCCGAGGGGTCCGGGAACAAGCAAACCAACCAGGGATCAAGCACCAATCTCACATTTTTATTTGATTTGAGAGCACCGTTTATCCCGTATTATTAACACAAGAACAACCATTCGAATGATTTGAGCTGCAATTGTATGTGGCCCCAGTCCTTTTTTATTGGACACTAAAATACTGAAACTATCAGGTGCACCGCACAGACTCAACTCCAGCAAAGGAGAAGCCCAGATCCGGTCCACGAGCAGCCATGTGCAATATTCTAATAGACATTGTAGAGCATTAGCCTCGAGGGCTTTCATTCAAAAATGAGCCAAACAGTAAACAAGGCTATCGAGACAGTGAGCGTCTAAAATAAAACAGCTTTTTTTAACTGCTCAAAAGCCATAACCACAGCTGGCCTGTTTCCCCAGACTAATTATAGCGAGATTTCATGTCTGTGCTGTGATTTAAAAAAACAAAACACAGGATCAGACTTTCCCATGTGTTTGTATGCAGGAACACTGGGTAATATTAATAATATTAAATCCTCTCGACCCAGAAAAAGGCCTCAAAAAAGTGAACAATCTTGTGCTGACACAATTTTCTGCACAAACTCAATACCTTTAGGGGTTTTTTGACAGACTGCAAAAACATAATAAGCATTTGGGGAAATAATTATATATTTTTTACAACTTTTGATGAAGCATTTATTTTTTTAGGACATTTTTTGCACTGAAAAATAGCTGCTGAAAAAAAAATATTACAAGGCATCAAGTTTTAATTGATTTAATTAGTAATAAAAATAAAATTAAGGATGTTTATTGGTATTAAAAGAACCATCTGACTCATGTTTACGCAGATAAGAAATTGCATATTTCATATAGTTCTGACTTTGATCTGAGAATATAATTTAGACAACACTAACTTTTGTTTCTTGAGGCTAAAATCTGGCCTTAAAAATGAAGGTTGCACATTTAAATAGGGGCCTAATGTAAGGTTTCAATACTGTTGGTTCAACCAGTTCTAATTGCTATTTTTGTTGTACTTTGTGGAAGTATCACATTTAATCTAAGAATAAACAATATACTAAAGAAAAAAATCATATTCTGATTATTTTGACAGATATTGCAAGATGACTTTAGTGAGAGTTGTCTTTTTTTTTTTCCCTTTTTCTTTCCAGGAAATAAATATAACAAGTACAATGGGATTTTTGCTGCGCTCGGTATCAAACAATCATGTTCCTTTATGTCTACAGAATATGATTTGTAGGCTATTGTAGCATCGCAATGCTTCATTTATTATAGTTTGCTTCGACACGATTCACCTTTTCTAAAAAACTGCAGCTCCTACAGTTTTCTTCACTTGCTGATACGGTTTTGATTAAAAGTTGAGCCCAAATTTCAAAAGTCAAATTCATGTCAAATTGAATGTATATGTTATTAAAACACAATTAATTGGTTACTCAGTTTGACAATTTAAAGTGGAAATATTCTACTGTTATGGCCCATTTTTCCAGATCTAAAAACTTTTTTTTTTTTCTTTTTTAAACCATTCTATCTCTCACATACGACTGAAACAATAAAACCCTTAATTTGCTCTGCTTCAAGCGTTTAAAGAACCTGAGTTACGTCAACCACCACCTGATCATCTGATCCCAGCAGCCGGGCTCTAACTACATCTGTACTGGATCAATATTTGGCCAAAGACCAGAGGGACATTAGAGCCCAGCAGAGGAGGCACCAGCCAGCCGTCATTTTCCCGCCCTGATGGAGCAGAGAGCCACGGACGCTCATCTCTCCTGAAAATGGCTGAACAGTTCATCTCGGCGCTGAGAGATGAAGATTCGTGTGTCACATTCGTGCAAGCAGACACGTGTAAAAATTTGGTTCTCTGAGTTCAAGTTGTAAAAACACACAGTGACATGATGAAATGTCAGAGGTTTAGCCGATCATCCCGACCTGACACCTCTCTGCAGCCAGAGGAATGAGGCCTGCGGCTAATGAGCGGTGTTTGGACAGCAAGGATGAATGAATCGCTTCGGCGGTGATAAACCACAAGACTCAAGTGTTCCTACAGCACAAACAGGTACCCACAATAAGCAGATTGTCCACCCAGGCCTCATCGTTCTCCCCTACCAACCCCACTGACAGCCCTGCCCGGGATGTTGCAGTATGCTTGGCTCTCTGACAAACTGACAATTCGCTGTGTGTCTGAGCTCATAACGAAGGGGAAAGTTAAGTCCGAAATGGTCTTTTTATGCTCCCCATAAGACTGTGGAAGGGAAAAGCCCGGTTGCGGAAAGCTGGCTCTGGTTCCCATTCGAGAGAACATGAACGGAGGAGGAGGAGAGGGGAGACAGACGGACGGGGGGGGAGGCATCGGAGAGAGGGAGCGAAACAGTTTTTCTCTCCCTTGGGGGCGTCGCAGCACTATTCCACCAACCGTAGTGACAGAGAGTTTTATTTATCTCCGTGGCCCATCTGTGCAGTCGGTCTCAAATTCTCCCTGAGAAAGGTCTTTTGGATTATCAGCGCCGCCATTTTAATACAACTGCTACATCACAGAGTGGGTGCCAATGGCGGTGGAAGTCTGTCAGGCGTGCAGAGTCCATCTTCCTCATACTTGAAATGGGTTCATCCAGAGTACACCTGCTGTAATAGGGACATTCCAAAAGGCGTGGAGAGTAAATTATCCAAATGACAAAAACTATGCTAACTCCTCAACGCCCCCTTCCTTCTGTTTGTTGTTCTCTTTTTTCGTCTTTTAGGTGCGATTTTCCTATCTGTACGCCTGTGAACAATTGGAAGTTGTTCGGCTAATCTAAAATGGAAGATGCTTTGACTTCTGGGAAATGTTCTCTAAAGATGTACACAGAGCGAGAGGTGACACACATCAGAGCCGGTGTTTTTGCTGCAACCTGGCTGCAGATCCAGTCGCCTCTGTAAAAGGGAGGACGAGGTGGGGTGGTGGTGGTGGTGGTGGGGGGGAGCCGAACAGCGCCGTGTCGTGGCGGCTGCGGCGCGTTGACTCGTTGACCTCCCGGTGACTCCTCCGCCGACAGAGCGGGGAATGGGTGTGGGCGGGGCTGGCACTGAGAGCGGTTGCCATGACAACACCTGCAGTGTACCGGCGCGATCGTTTATTTACCACTCAGGGGGCTGGCTAATGGTGGCATTCTGATAGGCCCATCACTCATGTTCCCGACCGGAGGACAGATTGACAGCTACCCGAGCCTGAAGCGGGGAGAAGGTGAGTCGAGGTTGGCTGGCTGGATGCGGTGAAAGACAATGGGCGAGGCAGGTGACGCCGCCATCATGCTCCCAAAACAAAACACATCTTTAATATCTCTGATAATGGGGGAAAAATCCTGCACGGATCCTGACTCCATGTCCTCTTTCTATCCCTGTTTTTGCCTTTCTCATCTCGCACACATGCGAGCTCCCAGATGAAACGCACACACTCGCACACAATCCCAAATGCATACAAACTAGGGGGAGTGCTAATAAGCCTGACACATGAGGCATCTTTCCTCGGCCACCAGCTGACTGAGGCAGGCCTTGGGCGTGATGGAGCGCAGGAAGTCTCTCATTGCCCTGCCGCTGAACCCGCCGCCTGGGTGTTACAATCTCTCCCCTCCCTCCCCCATTTCCAACCCCCCACCCCTCTTTTCCTCCCATCCCTCTCTTCCCATCTCTCCTGTAGCAGCCTTTCCTGTAGCTCGCATCCTCTCTGTTTTTATTCCAGCGTTTCTCCTC